GCGCAGATAGACACATGCTAATAAAAGAAACTAAAATGTATAAATTAAAGAAGAAATGACCTGTTGCTTTTTTTTTAAATGGTTGTTGAATCTAAAATTGTGATTATTCAATCTCAAGGTGTCTCAGCATCAGATTATATTCAGTACGAATTTTGTTGTACGACAACGTGAGAACGTTGTGCGTGCTAAGTATTTTACAGCTCTTCACGTTCGCTTTGATTTTAAAGCGAAATATTTATAGAAAAAAAACGACTGTATCATAGTGAAGCTTGGAAGGGACAAAATGTAAGAAAATCTACAATTAGAGTTCGCTAGTTTCAACTTTAACAGATGCACGTTAAAGTTCATGCCGGACAAGTGTATAATTTATAGTAGATACTTCGTCGCATTTTTTGTAATTAGAAAGGAACTTGGCACAGTTTAGTAAAGACATGTAGAATCGATCAGGAAACCAATGAAAATTTTGAATAAAATTGGCGTTGGTATTCAATCGTCGTGTTACTCAGAAAACTACGAGCAACTGTCGAGATGATTTAATACAGAAACAGTCAGCGCAGCCGAATCTCGAATCCATATACAAAACGATTACGATATATATACATATATAAATATATGAATATATATATGTATATGTATATACATACATACATGTACATATATATTTGTATATACATATATATATATATGTGTATATACATATATAACGAAATACGTCTCATAGTACTATAACACGAAGCGTTAACGTCGAAATATTAAAAAAAACAAACTCTTACGGCAGATTGTTAAACATATCTGCTGTTTCAACGCGTCTAAGAAAATACGATACATATGCGAAGAGAATGATTGAGATAATAAAGATATAATTATAACAAATTTAAGTAAGTAAGGTAATCGAGAAATATACGATATGCGCAAGAAATGAATAGACAAACGTATTTTAATTAGCGGTTCCCATCGTTCCCTTCGAATTTACCTTTCCCTTACGAATGATGTGGTTTTATCTTTTAAACGAAAGTTAATACAGTTAGAGAAAATATATTTCTTTATTTTTGGTTGTTTTACAAACTTGTATAGTTCCATTAAAATTGACGTTAAACGTTTTGCAAATATTTTATATAACTATAACCTTTAATTATTTTTAAACGCACTACAGTCCATTAATTATTATGAGATATTCTCTACCCTATTTCCATAGATCGGTAAGGTTTAGTAAAATACAGTAAAACTGTTCATTTTTATGATTTACATGTATTAAACTTATTATATTCTAGACATATGTTTTGCCTTTTACCTTATTCTATAATATACATATATTTGGATTAGCAACAGCATTATAAGGGGAATAAATGTATGTATATATAAAAATTACGCATTGGTGAAGAAAGTAACTCTATTTAAACATTCCATTACGATTTACTATCATTTCATTGCTTTAAGGAAGAAGAATTACTATTACACATACGTAAGTCTCTCGTATGTACAAAGTAATAAATGTTTATACTAATTTTGCAAAAAATATAAGAAGCAGTACAAATTGTTTTGTAAAAATAATGGTTTACACTGATTTTTTTTTAAATTATGTTTTAAATTATCAAATTTATATAAATATAAAATAAGATGTAAAAGTTATCAATCCTTTATAACAGTCTTGTTCTACTAAAATTTTTTAAATAAAATTTTATATACATACAAATGAAAAATCGAGTTGCGTGGAAATTCGAAGTATATTACATTCTTCTTCTCTGTTGAAAATACTGCACGTTTTATTACTAAACTTTTAGGGGAGCTAGGCAGTAGAAACAATTTTCTTTAGCGGCACAACAATAATATATACAAGGTTGTTCAATTGAGGTACAACAATAAGAGCAATTTCTGGTTGAACATTTAATTCGTTCATATTTATTTGTATTTTATATTCTGACGTGATAAGCCCCAAAACGTTTTAGGTTTCAAAAATGATTCAACTGCCGTAAATTTCCATCCCATATGAGAATTACAGTTTTTACACATAGCTATCGTCCATGCATATCTGTAAAAATTCAAATTAATTCATTAAACGTGACTTAGAAAATAATAAAGATTAATAATATAGAAAATAATTTTTTACCCAGGGAACCATGTATATTCCGTCGACGGTGGATGATGACTTAGTATTAAACCTTGTGCACTATATAAAGTCACAATATCGTGTATAAAACCTGCACGGTTACAATAAATGCCAAGTGGACCTTCTGTACTCATTGGAAGCATGTTCGACTGCCTTCCAATAAGAGCATTACAGTTATTACAGGCAAACAGTTTATCCTATGGAAGTGACAATCGTTTATATATAATTCTATAAATTTATGATCAAATGAAAGGTATTTGTTTTATGTATACACACATGTATTAAACATTTGATTCCCATTTGTAATCTGGAAATTGCACAATCATAATTTAATAAAATTTTTCTTGTGGTATCATCTAACAACATATTTTGGGCAACCCAAAATGACAAATTTATAGGATCTTCTGGTATACTGCTTCCCACTGAAATTATTTAAAATAAATTAGTTACAAACTTAATTGTTGAAAAGATTTTTCCGACTTGTTTAAAGTAGCATTAGATATATTTACTACGCTCAATAAACTGGAGATGTTTCCGTATTCTTAAAGAAAGTCTTAATGGATCATATTGTCTGTATACCCAACCAGGCCAAGGAGTTACAGCAGCATCTAAATTCTCTACCCTTTCTTGTTTTTTGAAATCTTCCTCAGTGCTTGGACATATTCGTAAATAATCTAATGATGCTAACCGGTCATCAAAAAATGGTGGTCCAAGTGTTATTTCTGGTAAAACTTTAACATTGGCTGACATCCGATAATCCTAAGTATATTTGTACATACATGAGAAATATAATTTAATATATAATATTATATAAAATATAGTTGAAACTGACCTCTACATTGAGTTGCAAAATCTTGAATCGTTGTCTGCCCTTAGCTTTCAAATTATAACCTTCTTCAGGGCCTTTATCAATACATTCATAAATTTCAGCTGTTACGCCTATGGGATAAATGTTGCTATATCTGAAGCATACAACACCTATTGTACGATTGCCTTCAAGGCAAGCTGGCATGTCAATAGCATGTGTGTCAACTGTCATTGGTAATGTTTGACCAGGGAATAACATAACACAGTTTTGGTTCAGTAATGGCAACCTCATATAAACTCCATCATCAAACATTGTCCGTCCTCTAAGCTCTACCAAGTTTTGTCCTAAATACTGATAATATATTTATGTATTATAAAATATACAAGTTAAGATAACATTTTGAATTTTGAAAATAACTTCAAAAATATAGATATATCTAAAAACTTGGAAACGTACAGAATGTGTAGCCGGTAATGTTAAGTCAAAAGTTCTTTCAAATGGCTGTTCGGCATTTTCTTCTGTAGGTTCTTCTTCGGCATTGTGTTCCCTAATTATTCTTTGTATGGTTTCTATGTATTCTATAAAACAGGTGTTACATATATTACGTTTCACAAAGTATCATATCAAAATATAAAAGAATATAAAACTACTGAAAATGAAATATATATTCTTTATTTGATTAACATCTTAGAAATTGTACAAGTTACAATAATACGCAAAAACCGAATACATAACCTAACTATCCAACAATTCAATATATAAAAATGAAAACAGTGAAAAATATTATACCTGATAAATATATATCATAATCATACTCTCCAGGATCAGAAGCTTCGCTATCACTTTCTACGTCGGAACTCATTATCAATTATAATTCGCTAGAACTTTAAAAATCGTAGAAAATTGTAAACAACCAATATTTCCCTTCCAGCAAACGTCAAACACACGAAACCTTCTACCTACTTGCGAACCATTGCGAACTTCGCCACAAAGGATCTTTACAACTTCCGTCTTTTTGTAAGTTATATAACTGTGAATGTAACTGTGTAGAAAATCGCAATATCGATAGTTAAATGAAGAACGAAATTTAAAATTTAAATGTATAAATTTTTTATTTTTAGTGTCGGAGATTTTAATGAAATTAAAATGTGATGCAGTGAATATAAGATAATTTTATTACCCTATATCTTATAAGTAACTGAATGTGTTATAAAAACGCTTCTTTGAACGATTAAATAAAAAAACTTTTATACATTTTCGTATCATTTTATTTAACAATATATGTATTTACATCTATATAATCATAGAAATATTGAGTAAAATACAGAAAGAGATGTAGATGTTTCTTTTAAAACTTTAATTACTAATAACTTTATTGTGTAGTTTCAATTTGAATTGATTACATTAATGACATATAAATAGGAAATACTTTTAAATAATACTTGAAGAAAATTAGTTATTGTACTTCATTGTTCCCAATATTTTTTATTTTCTTTGTAATCATATTTGAACTATTTGCTGTGTAATCCATGTAAGGTAATTATATACATTCACGTAGATGCCTGGAACATTCATTGTTGCACAACCAATACCCCATGCCACCATACCAAACACCTGCCATTGCCCATTGTCAGATTGACATACTAATGGTGAACCACCATCACCCTGAAAGAATTATCATTAATTGTAAAATTAATTACTTCCCAAAAATTATTATATATTTACTTCCTTAAAATAATAATAATTCACAAAAAAACATTTATTGTTGATTAAAGTAGAATATGAATGTTAATTCCTTACTGTGCATGCATCTTTCCCAGTTTCTCCACCAGCACATAGGAAACTATATTTATCAAGATTATAATACTGTCCAAGTCTAGTTTGTCGAAGAGAAACTTCACAGGTTGTTTGACTTACAATGGGTACATCTACTTCTTTCATGATACTTTGATATTGACCATTCATACCAAATGCATCTTTTCCCCAGCCTGACACCCAACACCTTGTAAAATAGATAAATATGATTGTATTTGAAGTATTAGTAACTACATCATTAACGTCATTAAATTATAAATAAATAAACATGATAGAAAATTGTATTTGAAAATTATCATTGTCTTATTATCTTTAATTTTTGTATTGGAATATTTATATATACCTTGTACCAGCTACAGGCATTGATGATGGAAAGCATGCAGTATTAATATTTGGGCTACTTGAAATGGGTACAGTGCCACTTAAAGTTATTACAGCCACATCATTTTGAAGATTCACAGAATTGAAATTTGGATGCATAACAATATTTTGAGTTAAATATTCTTGGTATGGATAGGGTTCATTAGTGGACTGTCCATCCCATTCTCCTAATCTTACTTTCAGTCCACCATTTCTGTAAACATTTTCATCAATGTTTAATATATTTTATTTTTTAACTAAATAAAATAAAAAATATCACAGAAATAGTAAGCTTTAATTAAAAATCTATTTTTGTGTATAATTCATGAGATGCTCACGTGTAAGATGCTACTTTATGAGCAACAGTGAGTACATTATTTGGTGTAATCAGAACACCAGAACCAATATAAGCATTGTTCATAGTTAAAAGTGCAGCTTGCCAAGGGTATGCTCCATAACTAGCTTGACCTTGAGGATGAGGAGTTACAGGAATTTTTCTAATGCCACAAGTTCCATCCATCATATTTCCTGAAGAAGATGGTGAACAGCAATACACTTGTCCAGTGGAACAATTAGAAATCTAAAGAACATAATCTTTCTACAGTTATATGGAATTATTTCATTAATTGTTATTCCTAATTAGATATAACTTCATATACGTACCGTATTAACTATTCGGATATCAATATTGTTATCCATAGTTGGACAATTACCCATTGATACACAAGAACACATCATACCATTACTAGTACCTTAATTATAAAATAAAAAAGAATTATCAAAAACCAATTTTTCATAAGATTAATTTTAGCAAAATGTATATATAGTATATATATATATATAGTAAAATAAGCGTAATTTGAATGTGAACAAATTAGAAATTCACATAAGTAAAATTTTGCATACAAATATATAAATATGAAACATTATAAATATTCAGTATCTTCATCTGATTAACATTAATTATAAAAAAGGACTGTTTAAATTCAAACACTTTACATACTTGGCGCCATAGTGGTAGAACCGTTATCGAAAATGATAGTGTCACTTTGCGCGAAAACTTGACTCCATAGTATGCTGCCAGCATATAATATGAAAATTATATTGAACATAATGAAATATTTAGAGAAGTTAACGTGATTTGACTGGTGTAAAATAATGATTATTTAATAATTTATTATTTAATAATTTTTTGAGTTTAAAGTTTGCGTCGAGTTGTACGAAACAATGACTTGTAGCTGATCGGGCGTACGTTTATTTATATACAAGTTTCGGAGCGCTTCTGTCATAACCGTTAGAGGAACATATTAACTCGTACATCCTTTTGGAACGAAAAAATGTATGGCCTTTCACAGATAATAGAGCAATAATGTTTGGTGACAATAAAACAGGTGTAAAATATATCGCTCGGTTAGTGGGCGAAAATTACTTCCGATCATGATTATGTCTTCATTTGTGTACATAACGCATGTCGTAACACTGATTTTTATAGTAAACTAGCCGAAGTGGAACCACCTATTCGATACCAAGGTCAGAAACGAAGAAGGTCAATAGTTATTGGTTCCGAGTAGTTGCATTGTGAATTATATAATTACATCGGTTTTTCCCTCCCGTTCTCCGTTATTTTTAAATAATGTCTCCTGGATGGTATTCTGAATAGACAAGAATATCCATTGAAAACGATGTTTATAAATATGCCATATCCGGACTAATTTTGGTGTTGTCATTCAGGATATGCTAAAAGGGTAATAAATAAGGACATAAATAATAAATCTGCATCGATCACTTTATTTATACACCAAGACGCTACATTATTCCGTTTCGAAAGTAGTATTTTCACGATTTGTTTGCAACTTTTTTCCTCGTTACTTTTTCATTTTTGAAAGCGTAGAACACTTAAAATGTTATTGCTCGCACTGTCGTCAATCCATTGAGACACTAAGCATGTCTGAACTAACAGGAGTACGTAATATACATGAAGATTGTTCAAGAGTCGTTTAACATCGCGTAAATGATAAACATAAGATTTTGAAAATTCACGGTGGAATTATTCACAGTCCACGGTATCAGTCAATTGAGTGTATCGTATCCAGAGGAAAAGATTACATTCCAATGTAATTCATAGAAACTATCTAACGTGGTCGTAGTACAGAATGGTGCAAAAAATATAAAAATATTTACAGTACTTGTACGCGAAACACGTTAAAACGGAATTTGTTCAAAGCTCTGTTTTTGCACCATTTTTCATCTTTTCTCATTTCGTTTTTATCTACAAAACGCAGTAAAAAAAAGAACTGCTCTCTTCTGCTTTAGAAACAGAAATTCAAATATTATGAGACAAGACCAAGACCAGATAAGATTACGACTTAAACTTTAAACACATTTAAAAAGTCATATAAAATCAGAATTAACAGCTTCCTAACTAAGTTGGTACTTGACGGATAGTGCCTAAGAGGTAGTAGCAATTTTCCTTCATTATATTTGCACTGATTATAATATAATCAGTTTTTTCGACCTCCGCGTCTCTTCATAGAAGATGTACATTGAGGACAGTACCACTTGCCTTTTGGCGGTGCAGTGATACGTACGCATGGATAATGAAACCATTCAAATGGACACTGAAATAAAAATGTATGAATTAGTCATTTCTATTCACGGACAGAAAGTCTAATGTTAGGTAAGAATCAAATTTACATCTGAATTGTCGCATGCAACCATATCTCCATAAGATACTTGGTTACATATACAATATCTTGGTTCATTTGGATCATACGTCCAATCTGGATTATCTGAATCCACTACTTGTGTATTTGAAGTTATAACTGGTGGCGATACTGGTTGCTGAACAGATGCAGCAACTACACTCGAACTTGGAACCGCATTCGTTACTTTCCTAGAAAAGCGTAATAATAACAATACATTAGATAAAATGAATAACAGGTTTTGTAGAAAAATATTACTTGATTCTGGAAAGTCCATACTTTTTATGTTTTTTAGTTTCTTGTATAGCTGCAATAGCGGTTTGAGCAGCTCCAGCTAATTCTCTACTGAATTCGGCCGCGTGCACACCACCAGTATTGATAGCTTCGTAACTAGCTTTTAAACTGGCAGTACGTCGACCTTGTTGCATTTGCTGCGTCGCAGCAATTGCTTGGGATGCTGCAGCTGCTATGGCATTTCCACCGGCTCCTATATGACCAAGATTATAACTTACAGAGCCGACAGAATTTGCAATTGCCGTAGGGGTGGATGGCACACTTGTAGCAGCAATAATTGGTCCTGAATTTGCGGAAGCTGGTCGCGATTCAGGAACACTTGGTGAAATTTTTTCTATAGCTAAACGTTTTTCTATCGAAGTCGAGGATGCATTTGAATCTCTTCTTTTCTCTGCCCGAGCTATATGAAAAATATAGTGTACATAGTTAATATACGTATATATTATTAATAATATACAGCACATTCAAAGAGTACTTACAATGACTATGATTGTCCCGTGATCTAGTGGTTGATGTGAAACTATACCGATTTTCTTTTTGACTACTATTCGTGGGGGGTTGATCTAATTCCAATGACCTCTTTTCCAATATTTCCGTAATACCTTTATTATCTGCTTCTAACTCCATTTTAAATTTGTGCAATTCCTGATCTAATCTCCTCAAGTATCTATCTACTAAGTCGTACATCTGATTAGCTAAGTGCACCTTCTCATCTGCATCCTCCAAAGTCTTATAATACTCTCTTCTAATGGCTTCGTATTCTGCTTCTTTTTCGCTAGGTTTCATTTTCTTTGCATTCGAAAAGAAAGTCTTTACTTTTTTTTCTAAACTGTCCATTGAATCTGAAAGAATCCCAACAATAATTCCAATACATCGTAAGTATGATGAATTTGTTGTAAGTAGAGATAATATTAAGATCCCACGTCACGCAGAATGCTACATACTTTGTACACCTAAGTCCATTTCTCTCATTTCTGTAAATCGGTCTCTTAATTCTTGTGGTAGGTGCTCGATCACTAAAAGCATAGAAGAAGGTCAACATAACCAAACAAAGTGCAAGTAAAAAAATTAATTATTTAATAAGAACGCACATTCGTGTAGGTGACAGAATCATGACAACGTTTGTATACTACTTGTCAAATGTATTGCAAGGTATGTTTAACTCCAAAATGTATCAGTAAGAGCAGAAGTAGTTATGTACTATTCAAAAAATATGCGACTAACCTAAAACTTACATAGAACTACAATAAGAAATTGCTCATACTATACAATGTTTAATTTTACGATAAAAAGAACGGCAATGTTTCAGTGATTATACGTGATAGCAGAATATTTGTAAATATACTCGCATCATAAGAAGTTTTCGATGTTTTCGCAAGAGAGTATATTCGGAAAGGTTAGTAGCTTTCTTGAAAAGCTGGGTAAGCAAAGCATGCCTCGTTTTTACGTACTTTCGACATAATCTTCCAAGTAAAGCATCCTTTCGTGCTGGCGCTTCGTTGCCTGGTGCTTAATTTATAATTATTTACAATTTACTAAGGGGGAGTGCTTGCCGCCGTAGTCAAATTAACGAAAATTGTAGCACTCGATCGGAAGCGTGTTTACGGCGGCCAAATCCCTTGTTGTACCCTCATTTTCACGCTAGTTCTGTAAACGGTGCGAATCTATAAACGATTCGTAGAAAATATCATCTAAAAAATGCCATTTCTCCGGAAATAAGTTGCCCAGCGAACAGTTTATTCGTGCTAGTGCTATTTATTTCGGAATTATAACTGGCCAGTTATCTATTCGTTGTAATCCGCCATCTTAGGCGAAGACTCAGGGGTGTTTTTGTAGAAGTTTGGCGCCCCGCGTAAAATATTTCAAAAATCATATTTTCCTTTTGGCCTCGAACAACTTTATTACTTGAAACTACAATTTTTGATATTATTTTTTAAACATTGATATATCGTGTATTCTAAATTTGATTATTTCAATTTTTTATTATAATACCTATCTTTGTTAATAATAAATCGAAGTAAAAGTTTAATATGTTTCAAATGTTATTACAGTAAAGATTATGTGAATATGAATGTATTACAAAATTGATCGAAAAAAGAAAAATATAAATATGTGATTGTATTGCATGAGGTTGCATAGTGTTACAAGATCAAAGACTGCAGCGGTTCAGTTGTACGACCTTCTTGTTGCGTTCCTTGCATGCCAATCATTGTGCAAGTTTTCCTTTCGCATAGAAATAAGAATTTTGAACTTTTTCCTCAGGAAAATGATACGACGCAGCCCGACAAAACTCGATTTACGACTAGACGATCTGGTTGAGTACGAGACAACAAGGAAAGCTCTTGAAGCCAAGAAAGAGTCTGAGAGACAAGCAGCATTCAATACTCTATCGTGGAATGTCAAAATGCCGCAAATTGAAATTCAAGAACGCATTGGTTACATACCACCGCAAAATCAAGCTTCGCATTCCCGACCTAATATATAGTCCCTTGCGCCGTACATTACACGTACCGTATTAAATGTTTTTTTTTATATCTATTTAATTAAATCACGGAAGTTTATGCATTTATTGCAGCTCCTAACCTCAGTAATTCAGTAAAACGAATAGGTCCATACAATTTTGCAAATTTATGTATATGTTACTATAAGCAGAAAAACGCCTTGTTTAATAACTTAGTATCTGAGACCATGAATTTGCATAAACATCCGCAGCCTGATAAAATGTTAATAATGTTAATGTATTACCTTTGGCAAAATGTATTTGACCAAACTGAGCCAGTAGGTTAACAATTTGTTATATATTATGTTTATAAATTTTCTTATCACTATTAACTGAGGCAGAATGGAAGAATTATCTGTATTAAATTTAAATATTAATTCTTATATTGTAATTTGTAATAGAATAGTTGCATTGAAGCTTTTTCAGTGAAGCATCAATGAATATGAAACATTGAATATGAAGGGTTGGCATTACAAACAATATTTTTATCTATTCATAACATACAGTATGAATAACTAAAATAGCATGAGGAGATATTACTTAAGTAATGTTCAGGTATTAAGAAAAATTTGTGATGGATTCTTTATGCCAGGTGCATTAATGTAAATAAAAACAATTTACTTGGATCAGCTTTTATGAATATTTATTGTATCATAATATTACTAAAATATACATGGCAGCACTTCTTTATTTTATTTAACGGTTCCAAGAGGTAGTAACAATGGAACATTGACAGTCACTTAATGTTTAAGACATGTTCTTAACAATTAACAACATAACGTCTGAAATGTGACGTCGCGGCTCTACTAATTAAATGATATGTTCACTTAATTAAATTAAAGTAAAACGGCTGAGCGTGAAAGACATTATTGCTTTCCAATACATCTTGGGTGCTATTTAGTAGAGTTGCCAAATGACAATGTATATTATCATAATTTTCATTTCTGTAGTTAAAGGACAATCGCTGCTCACAATGGAAATGCAAATTAAGTATCAAAACGGAGCGGCGCTCCAATATAATGAAGTTAAAAAAACTGAAGTGTATTGTCTTACACGGAATAAAGACTCATTGAAATGCGTGTATTGTCATCGGTCAACTGGTAATGCACGTGTACCCCAAAGAATGTAGTTCATTCTCTGCGTTAGCAAAAAGCTACAAATTCTCGAAATTCGTGTCGTTCGCCGAAGATTCCAATTCCATAATTAATTCTTGCTACGATCTTCGTACAGAGCGACACAAGCTATCCTTTGCGATCTTCATTTATCACGACTAAAGGTTTTTATAAATTATAAACCTTTGTTAAAATATAAGTACATGGGTATTTCCCTGTCCTTGCAATTTTCCCTCAGGACCTTGTAGTTTTCGGGTTCCCACTTTTCCAAAGTGCTAGATTTAATTGAGCTGTAAAACACGCAGAATACACATTTATATGCAGTCTCCATTTTGAAATCATAATATAGAATTTCATTCGCTTGTCTCATACTTACCACCTTTGTGGGAACAATGCACACGCTGTGGGCACCATGAACGTCAGGCTGAAATTTTAATAATAACAAGATCATTATACAGTTTTGTAAGCGATCTACGTACAAGACAATTATTATACAATTACTCACAAACAGCCGACTAGCAGAACTTGTATTGACAAGTGCAACGGTTTGATCTTTTGCATGAACCGATACTTTTCGAGTTTTTCCATGATGGGCGGAAGTATCACTGGAAAACGAAATTTTTTGTTAAAGAATTCTTAACATTCGTTCTTCATGCTTTTTTTTTTCTTCCGTAACTTACGCATGCCGGGTGCGCACATGACAATCCTTGAGATGACCACTTGACTAATGCCTTTGACCGGCGCTATCTGAACAACCATGTTAATCATTTTATCACTTGATTACTCGTTTAATTATAGCGTTTCCTGTGACCGAATTGGAACTGTACAGTAGCCTACCTTCGATTTTGTAAGTTTGTTGCCGTTCTCGTCAGCGATCTCGACCCCTTGGGTGATTTCGTTCTGCCTCATCAAGGGAATGTTCGCGCAGTTGGCCGCGGCGACTGCAGCGAATGGCACATAACGCTGTCAATATAAATTGTTTCTGTCTCTCTCTTTTTTTATACAAGTCACAAGTAAGAAATTTAGCGATCAGAAACGATTTTACTGTTCATTTCCTTTCTCATTTCAATTATTTAACTTTTCCTTGAAACCAACTGCAAGTGTATTCTAGTTTTTGTCAATCAACTTATAAAAATGTGAATATGCTTGATACTTTGTATACTGTTTGTCGAATAAAAATGCGTTTGTAGCTTTTAAGCTGTTTATCTTGCTTTAGTGTCTCATTCAACAAACATAAATCTCGTTAAAAGTATAGAGCGATGGAAATAATCTGATAATCGTTATCGATGAATCAAGTTTGTTCCATATTAATCATATCTTAGAAGTAAATAAATTTCGGTGTACGGATTAGTGTTTTTTATGAATCAACGGTGATTGATGACTATGTAATCACGGGACACGGAATTCTTTTCAACGAGACCAAAATGATAATCAAAACGAAAGGGTATTATCGGAAGAAAAATCAAAATATCTTAGAAATTCTAAAACATTCTAGCAATTACTGAATCATTAACTGATGATCATCCATTTGCAACGTTGATCATGGCAAAAATAGCGAAATTCATCGTCGGGAAATCATTTCTAATGGACAACATTCCTTTGATAAAGTCTCATCATACTATTTTCTTACCATCATAAGTGGATTGGCCCGTTTCGCCAAAAATGATTGACATCCTCTTGCTGTTAATATGGCCATCGCTGTTGCGCACACGTAAGCCGTGCCTAACTGAGTCTCCGTCAAAGGACTATTCGCATTTCGGTTGGAATAATTAACTAGAGCATTGAACGACTGATTCACCCATTGCCAGAAGAACACACCAAGTTTGGTTCTGTGAACAAGATTTGATAAATCACTCATCTATAAGAATTATTAACTTAACCCTTTGCACTCAAAAGTATTTCACTAGGAACATTTAACATTTTCCGACAAGATATAAACGACATTGTTTGAAACTAATTTAACAATGATTCACAGATAAATTAAGTGACAAAGCTATTGTATTTAAATATATCCTATAGCAATACAAAGTTTAATTTAGAATACTAAACATTCAACTTCATAGTTGATTCCTTAATTCCTTCAACAATTTCTCATAGAAACATCTGTTGCCATTTTAATAATTCTAAAATGAAGAAATCAGGAATGGGTCATTTTGACCTGTCTGGTAGTTTTAGTGTTGAAGTATTAATGATTTCGTGCCACTGGAAGATTAATGGGTGGTGTCTCCAATGAAAAGAAATTTACTTGTAGAATTGTAGCATAGCGCCAGTTATAAGCATTCCGCCTGGCACTTGGAAGGACATTCTGCCAAAGACATTCTGCAGGGTACCAGTGTCGGGATGAAAGGCCGACTCGTAAAGCTTCTTAGCATAGATGATCTGCTCCCGGGTTGTACCAGCTGGCTCTCTCCCAAGTCTAAAGGATAAAGGCAACTATTGATTTTTGTAGGCACAAAATAATAAACGACTATGGTATAGTTGATTTTATTACAAGAATCTCCAACGAATTTTTCGTACCTCGAATAGCAAGTGAAACAAATTAAATATTGTTCATTTACATAACCGCTTTTATTTCGTTAAATAAAGAATGTAATTTACACGTTTTAAGATAGCGATAACTTCAAGCGATAATCAAAATGATCAGATCAAATACTTTGATTAGTTTTTGCATTTTCAAAGTTTAACGTGTAAGTGGAAGATTTGTTGTTCTAGCATTTAGTAACATCAACAGTAATAAAAACCACCTGCTTGATTAGATATAATCTAACTGTAGTCATTACCAAGATGTATTTATTTTGTTATTTCTTATTTTTCAAATGACAATTGTTTATGATAAGTAAACAATCAGGTAGTAAGGGGCGCGTAAAAACAAATGCATTCGAACTTCATCGCGTTTGTAAGGTTCAAAGAATTGATTACGTAAAAAACTTGAAAAATTGTAAATTTTTTATCACTTCCGGTTTTCATAGAACGGGTACCAGTGATTAGATGAATTTCTCCTTTATCCCGTTTACTAGATTTAAAGAATGGATTAGGTAAAAAAACTTGAAAAATTGAAATCTTTTTATTACTTCCGGTCTTTATAGAACAGGTATAGCGATTATATGAGTTATATGGTCCACCAATTTCAACATGGTCACTGGTCACCATATTCTTCAAAGTAGGCCATTACCAATGTACAAAACAGTTCCCATTGAAATAAATAAATATACCAGAAAACGGTCAGAAATTGTTGAATCAAATAACTTCAAAATAATTTACCGGATGTTAACAGGTTGAATGCTACGGGGGTCACCGGTGACCCCCAACCAAATCGAATTGTTAGAATTCACTCAATTAAACGATGATTATTTAGAAACTGCTCCATATTAGAAACAATGCAACCTAAGGCGATGGCGTTCAACAAAATAACCGTGCAACATTTTTGCAACGTTGCAATATTTCTTCCTACGTCGCGTATTTCGCTCCTTGAAATCATTCGACGTTCAACGCGTTAATTGAATGAAGAAAAGTTTCCCTTGAAATTCCTCAAAATATATTCAGAGACGTTTTGATCAACCCAGTAGATAGGTACTCACAGTCGCCAAGGGTGCGCTTCATCAAGCACCATTCAACCAAAAACGGATCACCCCATGGTATCAATTTTGAGGTGTCCCTTCATTAGGCCTATTCTCGAACGGCGAGGCTCATATTTAAATAAGATTGGCCCGTGTTCAAGCAAAATCAAACCGATTCTATTCGCCGTCTACTCACTTGTAATCTTCGTACAATTGCCTCGCATTGTGGAAGTCTTGTTCCGGAAGAATGCAAGTCCTGAAATCGGTCATCCATGCGAAGTGTTTCCATCTGCCCTGGAAGGTGTTCAGATCCCAAAGTGGCTTCTCTATGTCCAGCCTTTCTTCGCTCATTTTCCTCGAGGGGCGCAGCCAATCTCAATCTTTCTTCAACAAACGCGAAACAATCGCCGATAACATGAACTTCGATCTACACTACGGTAGCATCTAAAAAAAGAACAAAAGAAGAAAGAAAAAAAATTGAGAAGAAACGGGTTGAGCTTATTGAGGCCTGCGAACGACATATTTATAGCTACCAGCTGGCTAGACGCGCCGAAATAACTATAACATTGTCGTGTGACAAAAGTATTATTTTTCTCTTTCGCGTTGTCGGCAGTCAGAGGCAAGATTTCATCTGTATTTCAATAAAAATGATCCGTGTTCTCAGTGACAATAATAAAAAAAAAACACCGTATCGTTATTATTGTCTTAAGCCTTCGCACTCGAGAGACGACTCTCAGTCGCCATTTGATTGAACGCAGTAAAATTATAAAATGAAAAGTTCAATATAAAATGTTGAATAAGGTATTAGCACACGAAGCATAGAAATAAAACAATTCTGCCCCATAATTTATACAAGATGTTCCTTTATGTAAGTTGCAAAGAATATTGTTAGTATCTCGTCAGAAAATAATGAATGTTTGTAATGAAAAATATTATAAAGTGTGCGAAGGATTAATAATAGCTTTTAACACTATTTCTACCAAAAGTGTCAGCAGACACCTTTCGAAATCTGAACTTAAAATTATTTTCCAAGCTTAGTCGTGTATCATGAACTTTTCGAGTTTTCCAATAACGATTATAAAATTAACTACAGGAAATGCCGAAAATTCGATTCAGGAACCGCGATTGAACTGAGAAAATAATTTTAAGCTGAAATGTCGAGAATAGGTAGAAATTTATCAATCGATATATCACGCTTGATTCCCCATTGAAATTTAAATGCTCGAAAAATGTTCTACACCAGCCAGATTTTAAATTACTCCGTTATTTCCATATATTATCATTCCACGCGAAGCGAGCAATTGTATTCATTTCCATTATCTTATCGTGCCTGACATTTAGGCACACAAGGAGATCCAAGGCCGACGGTTACGGCGTTACCCCGAAATTGTGTTACGAATGCTTTCGGGCGATTTAAATCAACGGTATACACCGAAGGCGTTTCAACGGAACGGTTCGATACGCTACGACCTAACGGCTGATGTTTATCGATTATTTGACACCGTTTTTCTTCCCGCGCGGAAACGTACATATTCACCGGATATCCTGGCAACAGTATCCAAACCCCATGGATCCTAATACTAAATTAACGACGTCGAATCGGATCCATCGATGGATGTTATCTCAATGCACGTGAGAGATACTCAATTTTTCAGGGCCGTGACGAACGTTCACCGCGCCCCGTAACAAACACGGTTCCCCCCTAAAATACGATACAGTCTACTGACATTTGGAGAACGTTACAACTGTGCGCCCGTTGTTCCCGTCGGCAATGGCCACTCCGCTGACCGCAGAATGCTATTCTTCACCGCGATGCTGTGACGCGTGACTTAACGACGAAAATTCTGCGTGACGTTTCAGGCCTTCGGTTATCGACTGTCCGGCGAACTGGTAGCAGGCGAACGCCCCAATTTTCGAGAGAGTACCGGCACATTTTCATTCAAGAACGTGACTGCTAAGCGGCCGGACTCCTATCGCTCTTTTTTCTCCCTTGGCTCGAACCTTTCCATTCAGTCACACGTGCACGACAATATATTATGTAACGCGTTGCGTGTAGAATGAGTTTTTTTTCGCCTCCTTACCGTGAAACGCCTGGATCACTTCTGGAGAGTCACCTCTGTTCTGGTCTTCACCGGTAGACAGCGCGACAACCGGCCCGTAGGACAGGCGCGCCAGCCGAGTTGCTACGCCCCTGCCGGCTACCCCCTCTACCGTGCTGATTTCTTTATTATTGTTATTATCGTCCATTCTATGCGCCCCGTGACTACCGGTCCTTGTCCCTCTCGTGGAAACCATTGTGTGCTTAACTTTCACGGATAATAAAAGGATCGATAATTTCGAATAACTTTTTCTTAACGTATTGTTTCTATGATTACGCGTTGACCACGCAATTGTATTGCGACCAGCGTGTACCTACATACGCTTAATGACACGTACGAATTAGCATGCTAATGCTTCACGTCTGCTATTGTTCCTATGTGGAACAGAGGTTCGGAATTTGTTTTCGTCGGAATATTTTATACATGATAAGAGAATATTTCTTGGTTAATGGACGTTTAGAAGACATTCGTGTAAGTATCTTTTTCTTGGGTAAAATTGTATATATCGGATTTTAACAAGTTTTTGAAATTGCTGATTGATAGGCGATATGAATTGCTTTTCAAGTCAATTCCTTCTGTACGGCTAGAATTGGAGAGTGATTATTTGGAACGTAAATATGCTCGTGGCAATAAATTGTAGAGGCGTGATCGACTGTTACATATGTCTTTCCCACTTGTAGAGTTCAAACAGGCCATTGTTCTATATTTAGAACAGGATATGAATTTCAATATCCCAACCGACCAAAAAAGGAAACTAAACACGAATGAAGGAAAAATGGGAAACAATAGTTGACGTCCAAGTGCGGCTAGTAAACCGTTAATTTTATGCAAATAATTATCCCTTCCGAGCTACTAGTAACGTATATCTAATTTTCTAAAATGTCCTGCGCTAAGAAATCTGCAGGACTGCATCATTAAACATTCTCCGAGACACCGGTTATTGCATCATCGCGAGAAGTTTGCGTTTAACACTAGAACTACCAAGCACTTGAACTGACTTTTCCAAATTTCTTTATAAACCATATAATTCTCTATTTATTAACACGTTGAACGCCGTGCGATTCCATATAGCAAAATACATGAAATGGAAAAATCAAATACTGAATCATTTGATTGAATTGCATTATCATTATTCCACGTCCGCCTAGCTGAATGTCACCGCATTAGGTAGCATTATTTAGAATATAGAAACGTTTTCAAACGATCATCGTTTAATCGAATGAACTATTGTTAAAATTTCAATTGGCTTATATTTCAGTGTAGACATCACTAAATCAGCTTCTTTAACAATTTCTCAGAGAAGCATTTGTACCTTTCCACTAATGATAAAAGAAATCAGGAATGAATCATTCTGACCCATCTGCTAGTTCTACTGTTAATAAATTAAGTCTATCTAAATGCCTGGCAATTATATCAAACACATTTCGCGAATGAAGTAACATCCATGTCCCACTCGGTTTTACTCGCCCATAAAACGGTTCATTAACACGTTGAATGCCGCACGACTTCATAGAGCGAAACACGCGAAACGGTAAAAATATAATATTAAATCATTCGATATAGCTGAATGGCACCGCATTAGGTGACATTATTTATAACATAGAAATGTTTCCAAATAATCGTTTAATCGAATGACCTATATCAATTCGATTTGGTTGGGGGTCACCGGTGACCCCCACTCAACGTGTTAAGATTAAAATTGTTGTTTGCGACGGTTGTTAGACCGTTTCCCAATAAACGTGGCAGTTTGAAGAACGCCCTAAACGCTCGATATGGCGTGCGCAATATTCCGAGTTGCGCAATAATATTGACAATGTAGAGCTAATATCAGGTATATACAGAAGCTCGCATAAACGGACTTCATATGCCGACGTTACGATTCTGTTTACTAAATAGCGTCGATGCAACGGTGTTGGTCGCCGCAAATAAAGCTCATTAGACTACTCATCGCCTAGTCATGAACTCAGTCGGCCAACCTAAGCTCCTTTGGACATCGTTTCATCCTCTTCGCTCTATTCCCCTCTTCTCATTCTTTCTCCCTCTCCCTCCCACCCTCTCTCTTTCTGTTGTATCGTGGTTTCATTCTCGCAGCGATGAGAGAGGGAGCTCTTTGTTAATGTTATGAAACGAAGCGGTCGGAGAAAGCTTAAATAACGCCTGGTACGTAGGTCAGCGGGCGGAATCAAGTTCACGGGCGTCCCCTGTCGAATTCCTGAAATGTTCGTGCCGTGATTTTCTTTCGCGACACCCGTGGCCCCGGCCGTGTCGTCCGTTCCATCCATCTACACGCGGGCTCGTCTTCTTGTTTTCTTTTTTGTCGGTCCCGTAGCCGGCGCAACTCGCGGCGACTGCACGAAAAGTTGATGCACGGGGCTAAGCCTGTGTACGCTTCCGTGCTCGCGAAAAGTAGAACTCGACCTCGTTCGTCATGCGTCACCATATTGTAGCTAAAACTGTCACGAATTATTATTTCGTAATATTTATGATGTAATTCCGACTGGGCATTATCTGACCGTTCAGCTTAGTTTTACTTGTACACATCCGGCGGTGGACCCGTGACTAATGGATACCCGCGAACCATAAAACCCGATTGTACTACATATTTTATAATTCGTAAGCGACAATTGCCCGAAAGATAGCATCTGTACGGCAACGCGGCCTGAAACGATTCAAAATGGTAGAGGCGGACGCGTGTGTGCTTTAAATTGACTTAATACAGTTGAACAATAGACCGTCCTCTAATTGTTAACTGGAAGCCGGTAAGAATTTATGGGAAACACTTTTCTGTGTTAATAGTTCCTCGAGCATTTCAGACCTTCGCTGTAATCTGATGTAACATTCTTTTGTCTCGACGAGTTCGACTCGCTTTGGACAAATTTAACCTAGAGAGAAGAGTTTCCTTAACGCTAGAACTACCGATCATTTCGACTGACTTTTACCGATTTCTGTATAATAAACCATAAGCTTTATTAAGACTTCGATTGAGTTGCACTTCAGTTTTGCTATTAGTGAATTAGTTTCGTTAATAGTTCTTCGTAAAAGTATTCGTACCTTCTCGGTTGTGAGAGAGGGAATCAGAAATAAGTCAGTTTGACCTGGCGGTTCTAGTGTTAATATTGAGCGATGGTTAAATTAACATTAAGTAGGACAAAGCAGATCATTGCGACAACAGAATCGTTTAGAAATTAAAGATTGCTCGTTCTGTTTGTTAACCTCTGAGCAGCCATATGCAGAGCAACCAAAAAAGAGGGAGTGTCATGTGATAGCTGCTAATTCCTTTGTTTATCTTCTTAATGATAAAAAGTTACAAACGTTAGAATGACTTCCTGACAAAGAAATGGGGATCGTGATGCTACTAATGAAACAGATCTAGATGGAATACGTTACATTTCTGTAGGGAATAGCAACTCATTCTTCCAGGCTGTCCCCACTGTGCCATGGAGAAAGAATACATACTTCCAAAAAGTATGTGTGTGCGAGTAATGTATCTAGACAGGGTGCGGAGGAAAATTATACTGAAACTCAGGATGTTCAACGCACCCTGGTTCGGACAAGATAAATCGCGAGGGGAAGAAGGCATTTAATTACAAAATGAATGGCACGTTATCAAAGAAAGATTTTTGCTTTTTGACAAAGGCCCTACCCTCCTCGTGGGATTTGTTTATTTGTTTTGTAGGGACAGGGCGACGCGACGGACGAGTACGGGCCTGGGGCAAAGTAACAGTGCCGTAGGAGGATACATTAAATAAATTTTCCGTCTGCGGGCTTACGTTAGAACATTGCATTAAATGCAATTCAGGCAATCAAGTGCTTTTTCCATTCTCTTTTTATGCTCATAAGTATATATATAGCAGTTTTTGAAATGTAAAAAAAATTGTTCTTTAATTAGAGTTATTTCAGATCTCTCAATGTGTTCAGAAGGGATTAATAAGTTCAGAAACTTGAATTCTTTTTAGAAAATTGTTGTTATCCTATTCAGCAGCGGATCATTTATAATTATCTGAATGACGAGTATATCGCAGATGTTAACAAGAGCGGCGATTACTGTAGCAAGATATTGTTGCCAGTAGTAAGATAGCAAACTTTGTCAGAGTCACGTAATTAACCTACATGTACTCATTGCAAGTAACGCCGCATGTCATCAATCACAATAATAAGAATATTATTGCAAAGCAAGATTACCAGTAAACAACCGCCGCACAGCCGATAGCAGCGAACACATTCGCGATTAGCATCATCGTAAAACAATTCTCTGCAGTAAGTAAGACTCAAAAACAGTCCGACGAATCCAATCCTCCATTTACCAATGCTCGACGTGGGCAACATTTCCACAATGATTATCCTCATCCAATTACCCAAGAATTCTCAAACACCGTGAACGTACACCACCGACACGTTCCAATCAATTCCAAAATCAACAGTTCAATCAATCGGCCTCCAACCAAGATAACAACATGAAAAACTTACTAAACAAACTGTATCCAAAAATCATTCATCCATAATATCCTCCGACATAAAATAATTCCTAACCACCTAAATCTCAATTCCAGTAAATAAAACCTCAGGCCCGCCGCCGTCTCGCTACGTCCCTGCGTTCGATGGTGGGGGAGCCAGAGCGGCGCGCATGCGCTTAGCGCCGCGAGTGGCCAGCTGTGCGTGGACGTGAAACGCGACGCGGCTGGCAGTGGTGGCTGGTAGGAAAGCAAGCGAGCGAACGAGCGAGCAAGCGAGCAAGCAGACAACACAGCCGGAGCGACTGCCCTCCTCCCGTTTCCCCCCACCCCTAAAGCATGCCACGGAGAGCCCATGGCCTCCGTACACACGGAGGAGAGTGAGGCAGCCCCAGCCGCTCCTCACGTCATCCGCTGAGAGAGAGACGACGGGCCTCGACACGGCGAGGAGCAATAATTCTAACGAGCCAAGATGGCGGCGGACACGGTGGCCCTGTCCGCGCTCACGCTCGCCAGGGGCGACAAGATCCTCGTGACCGTCGAGTCCGCGCTACCGGACATCGTCGTCGTGTCCTTCGTTCACGGTGCCAAGTGCTTCCAGGGCGCGTTGCTCGACGCCACCAAGAGGTAAGCGTGTGCCTTAAGGCCTAAAACGTGAACATCTTCGGCCGCCTCCTCCGACCAATACACACTCTCTGCCTGTTCTTCCTCTCTGTTCCTCTCTTTTAGCGAAAAACACCACCCTCTCTCCGTTACTATAGCCCGAGCCGCTAAACCCTTAACCAGACACACATACACATACCCCCAACGTCCGTTGGTCATTGAGCGGCTCTCGTCGAGTTCCGCGGACTCAAGAACCAAAGGCACAAGGAAGACCTCGGGCAACGCGGTGTCACACCGTGAAGCTCGGCCACGAGCCCTCTACGTGATTTGTTTCCCGTCGCGTGGTGTGCGTGCATGCATAAAGTCGTGGAGTGTGGAGAGTTCGCTTCCCCAGCGCAAGGTATTCACCAGGACACCTGTGTGCTACTGTATCATGAGGAAACGTGTGTCGCACCAAGAGAGAACCCTGGACGAGCGACACAGCTCACCCGTCCACGAGTTACTCCCTGGCCATGTGTGTACGCCGATTAAAGGCTACCCGCATTTCCTCGGGCCGACGGCTAGTGACGGACTACGCTTGGAAACCAGCCGTTTCGGCCGTCGCTCTGTCGCACGTTGCAATGTTTGCTGACAGTCTTCACGGTGTGCGTGGCCCAGTGTCGAGTCCTCAGCGTTGTGTACATTGTTGCAACGGGAATGTATATGGAACAGTGCATTTTTGTTTGTCAGCCTCTTAGGGAGTAGCACTACCGTTTAGGCCGGATTTCCATGTACGCCCCGCTCGGACTCGATGTTGGTGGTCTTACTTGATTCTCGCGTGCAGAGATTCGAGCCACGATGCACGCGTTTCAAGCCGGATCGTGATTTAGTCGGCGAACTACTTGACACTTCCTGTCCGGCTCTCGATTGCGGACACGGCTCTAGTCTTTTCTTTTTTACGATTAGAGTACCGTGCGCCGTTCCACCGCGGCGAGGTGTGCTAGGTTCACGTGGCCAAGATTTCCCCCGTGGTAACGGGGGTAGCCGTGCCGCTGTTACGTGCCCCCGCGTGTCGTAAGTCTTCTCGTAAAGCCGCTTTTGTTCCGCGGACGGATGTAGTTTTACGACGACTCGCGTGTCCCCCGTCGCAGATAGAGAAGCTTCGCCTCGAACTTTTTTTACGATCACCAAAGAAACGGCCCGGCGTCGCGGTCGTTCATTAAAATTCTATTTATTCGACGAATAAGCATGCCATTCCGCTTGGAACAACTTAGCTATCACCTCGCAACCCCTTAGCTTTGTTTGCCGGTCCTTTGTGTCTTTGGAGAGAAAGAGAGAGAGAAAGAGAGGAGGGAGAGGGAGAGAGGAGTTGGGCGAATTTGTACATTTCTTTTTATGCTGACTTTGTTTCTTCACGGTCCAAGAGATTATGGACTTACCGCGGTAATAGAACCATCGGTTAGGGGAGGGAGGGTGAGTTATGGCTGTAGAAGTTTGGCCATATGGGCCGGTGCCTGTGATCGAAACAGTGGACCATTGTATTTGCGTTGGAGATGTTGACTACGTTGTCCGACTTGACGGTTCTAACGTCTTCTTCTTATTCTTCTGGCTAACCGAGCTGGAACGCTGAAGTTTTGCAGGATTGATCGTGTATTTTCTAGTTGGCTGTGCTAGATACTTTACCCTATCATTGGAAATATTAGGAAAGTTGGGAGGCTGGTATATATGGTAGTAATGATTTTCTTGTAGTTTTCTTGAATTCGAAAGTATCCTTGGGAAAACGGGGACGCGATTAAATCAAAGAGAAGTAAACAAACGTAATGGTATATACTTAAAAAGGGAAATGTGAGCGGGTCGGGAACGACCCGAACAGCGCAGCAGGAAGTTCGGCCATATGGGTTTGAACCTGTGGCTGAAACAACTCGCTGTTGTATTGTGCCAAAGATATTGAGTTTTGTCGTCCATTTTTACACTTGTTTTCTCTTACTTTTTGAAGTAATCCGAGTGGAATATTGGAATTTTGGAAGATTGATTGGAGATTTTGATGCACTTGACATGATATTGAAATTGTATGAACAAATGTGACAGTGACGGTTTTCTTACACTTTCCTCGGGCTCGAAAGTATCCCGCGGAACATGAGAACTGGGCTAAATGGAAAAGGTAAACAAACGTAATGGCACTTAAAAAGGAAAACGTGGTTGGGTCGAGAAAGACTCGAAGAACGCAGCAGGAAGTTTGACCATATGGGCTTGAATCTATGGCCGAAACAGCACACTATTGTATCGCGTTGAAAATGTTGACTCCACCGTTCATTTTTATGCTTTTCCTCTGTTTTTGTTATTTTTCTGAGCAATTGGAGTGGAACGTTGGAATTTTATAGCTTGGCCGTATATTTTAAGTTGGCTAGAAAGTTCAAATATGTACACAGTAGTAATAATTTCGAATTTTGTTCACACCCGAATGTATCCCCAGCAGAATGAGAACATTACTAGAAGCATTAAACGAATTTAATAGAAACGGGGTTGGATCGAGAATAATTCGAATATTGTGAAATCAATCATATGTGGGGTGGGAGAAAATTAAATGGAGTAAATCGCACCACTGAATCACGGTTTCGGTTTTGTGATGGAAGCACGGAATGCTCTTCCACTAAATATAGAATTTTAGCGTTATTATATATTCATTAATTTCAGATTCTATTAACGAATCATTTACACGTGTAATTACAACGCGGAGTAATTAAAATGTGATTAGTTGTGACCTCACTTGTATTAACATAGGGTTGTGAACGTGTAAAATGGTAGAATATTCAGTGTCATCGTGAAATTTGGAATTTAATTTGATATTTTGAGATATCTTGTTATATTTTTATGTAAACAAGACCAATGAAAGTATGATTAATTAAAATACAAGGAATTATGATTCTTTAATATAATCAGAGTTATTAGAATGAAGTGAATTAAATGAAATTTAACAGATAGAGAAGGCTATATTATATTTCGTATACTACAGTCGCTGGTAACAATGTTTCTAACCTTTAAAAAAAATGTTTACTGCATGACTTAAACTAATCTCTACCTTCGGGGTCTCATGAATGCTAGTTTTGCAACTTTTTCGAGCTACAAAATCATAAATTATAAACATTTGAATATCTCCAATATCATATCTTGTTTTTCGAAGTTTCATTTAAACTACTAATGGCACCGTGATAATCATTAAAAAGAAGAAATGAAAAAGATATTACAGTTTCTTTCTCTTTAAGACAAACAAGATAACAGAAGATATTTTAAAAAATCGTCAAATATCTGTTATCCAATGGAATAAGAGTCATCAGCCACACAAAAATGGTAAAATGGTTTTACTGTCTTTGTCGAAGTAACGTATCATCTCAACGATAATTCACAAAACTCAAAACCATAGAAGAGAATGGGAAAACAAATAGGTACTCAAATACTTGAAATAATAACCGACAATTAGTTACAAAAAGAAACAGTCATGTCTGAACAGAAAAAAAGAAGTGCAAGAACATATATTTTTTACGTATTTCGTGTCTCACAGCAATATATCCTAACACCGTACTCCAGTAATACTTTTATATTGCCAGATTACACAATCCAAGTATAATCTTTAATAGTAGGATCAGCACTCATTCATTTTGTTTCAATCTACCATGGAGAAAATAGAATTTCACTTAATCTTACTTTCTTTAACCCCTTGATACATCTTCGCAGTTTCATTTATTACTGCTTATCGTTAATAAATTCACCGCAGAAGCAACAAATTCGATTCTCTTTCTATATCTAAATTTACTCCAAAGCACACAAATTGATAACAAGAAAGATAATGTTCCGTTTGAACGAATGTCATGAATCGAATAACATTTATATTCGTTAAACTATATTTGAAATCTCCGCTGCGAGTCTGACTCGATATTATAACGGTTTAACTGTGTCTACGTAAATGTACACTTAAACAAAGTTTCGTAGGCCATTACAATCTTTCGGTTTTTTGTATATTTAGTCTAATAATTTGCATGTTCCGTGCGATTATACTTTCTTCCTCATTTGTAATAATATATTCTTCCTGTTTCGCAATATTATTTGCACATGTTTCAAGGTTTTCGTTTGTGCCGAAAAAGAACGAATACTTGGGATGTGGATGTTACCTCAGGATTTGAAAAAGGCTCGAATGCCGTGACTCATACTAGCGAACGCTACCTTGTTCGCACAGTCATCATCGCTGATTTCACTTCGGCATAGCGAAAATATTCGGCTTGGAACCGATTCCAGTCATTAACACTGAAACTATCTGATGGGTCAGCTTGACCCACCTCAGAATTTTTATTTTGCAAGTATTTCAATTATGAAGGCGTTTTTGCGAAAAATTTTCAGTTAAAGTATATCTGTACGGTTGCAAGACTAGGAAACCCATAGAATCTCAAGAAATGTATTGTTCTAATTTTGATAAAAAATTGAAAACAAGTCACTCTAATTGCTCGGTAGTTTTAGCACCGAAAATCATATTTCCTTATAGGTTACACACAATGTTACACAGTTATAATGAATTCTTGTTTTTTCAGAGTAAATATTTTCTGAAATATGTTGTTACATGGTATAAAAATATTTTTTAACGCTAGAACTTCCGAGCATTCGTTAGGGTTGATATACTTCGAAAAGATCATCAATGATCGCAAAATAAGAAAACTGAAACCCGCCATTTTGTCGGTAGTTCTAGCGTGAATCTATTCAAACGCAAACCTTTAAATATCTATGAACTAAGAATACATGAATTAGACCACTTATAAAATTAGCGGTACGTGTGTCGATGATGGGTAATTAACTTTAAACGAGTTAAGATCGACCGATCGAGCCGCACGTGAAAATCTAATCACGCGTGCGCCGAGAGACGTTCGAAACACGCGTCGCAAAAATATTTTCCGAAGCTTTCACCGATAGAAACATTCAAAACGCGCGACAAACTTCAGAACATTTATTATTTGCTTTATAATCGCTAACATTTATTTGTTTAACACCATTTTCGTGTG